ATTTCATATCTCCCGCTTCATCTTAATCTTCAATTATGAGAAGATATTAACACCTCATCATCACACGGCCAAAGGAGCGTTTAAGATCTTTCCTATAGCCACATCTGCCCTTTTAACCACTTTAATCAGCAACGTTGATCCTCTTATTTGAATGACATTCGTTGCTGTCAACGATATACATGCATCCCTTTTGTCATCACTCGATCTGCAAGCAATCAAATTCTGTTCTCACACGATTTACCCCACAATGACTGACACCCCATCCCTCCTGCCCCGCTCTCTTCCTCCTCAAACCCCTTCAACTCTTATCTCTGTTCTGTCGTCGATGAATTCTAAAATCGTCGTTCGCTAAAAATTTCGTCTCTTACCAGTTCTTGCCAAATCTTTCCGATCATCGTTTCCTCTTCAATTGATTACTCAGCTTTGTTTCCCTCTTCTCAAGATGCTTAATGTGCAAATGATCAACACACTGAAATCGTTTTTATCTCTTTCATCATAGCGCTCACTTATTCATTTGCAGATAATCGTTCGGGTGTGAATTTTTCAATTAATTACAATTCGAGTGAACGAATCGGAGGGGACGAATGCGCTATTTTTGAGATTTTATTTGAAAAGGATATTCTTAGGGTACAATGACTGCTTATCGCAATCTCATCATTATCAGTAGTGACCACGATACCATTATCATCAAAATCATATCAGCTCAGCTTATCACCACTAACACTCTTATACTCATTGATATTGCTACAATTTTTATTGACAGTGCAATAATTTGGAACTTTCATCAGTTTACCGGAAAAAATCCGCACGATAGCAGCTTATTGTGCTTTATTATGCCTAATCAAGAAGTATTCAATACAATTCGATCCCACGCCCGTGTTTTTCGATTGTCATACCTTTTCTCACGCCAGCATTGGTTGTTTCCTGCCTTGAAAACTTCCATGTTTTGTGTTGTTCATTGAATTAGATGAATAATTTGAAGTTAAACTTAGTTATTCGCTCAAACATCCATTGAATAATAGCAATAATAATGAAATTTACTGCTGTCATTAGCAGTAAGACTATAAAATTAATTCTATCCAGGTATATGTATGCTCATTTCTTCGGTCACAGCAGTAGTCATTTCTAGTATTGAAACGACCACAATATCTGCCTTAATGATGCAGTTATAATGGCGCTCTTTTATGATCTAATAAAATCGAATATCTACCAATTAACATTGATCAGTGAAAACCAATTTGATTCTTTGGAATGGTTGTTCAGAAAATTATTTTTATGAATGAACGCAATAAGACAGTTTCAAATTAAACAATACCACCTTTTTAATTATTGCTTAAGGAATTTCCTAATCAAAGAAAGGATATTCCGTAAAAATCAATTAACGTCATTTAAAATGATTACTTTATGCGATTACTCTTTTGTGTCTTGTAAGGTCATACCATATAAATCGTCGTTCACCTCTTCTATTATTCCTAATAAATATTTCGTTATGTTGAGGTGACCTTTTTTAGAAATATTTCTTTACATAATTTATTGCTATTGCTATTAGTATCAATGATTTCGAACATTCATAAGAACAAACCAAAAAGAGCCACAAAAAACTGAATTTTGATCATTGCAAATTTTTACAAATGCGTTCATATTTGCAACTGTAATTATATTCTTATCGAAGTGGTACAGAGTAAAAAATTCAAAACATCAAATTCGACTGAGCTCAAGCCTAAGCTTAACCCTAAAGCAATTGGACTCAGGCCGATGATGCTGAGCCTCAGCCTTACGCTAGTCAAGTTTCGGTGGATATTTCTTCATAGAGCCACAATATCCAGCATTGTTATGGAAACGCAATTTTTGATAGCTTTGCAGACACTCATAAAGCTAGTAAATATACAACGAATATTGTTCTAATGATAGAATTGTACTCCAGTGCTCGAATGCTGCAAAATTAATGAATGTAATCTCGATGAATAGGTAAATTCTACTATTATCATTATTGTGTGTGTACAAATACGAATGTGCTCGAGAATTTGTGTGAATGATTAAGAATTTGTATTAATCAAAGAAATATATACATCATGTTCGCATACGTAAGCAAAAGTATAAATTCTCTGCAAATCAATGCAAGCACTTCACTCTCGAGCAAAACGTTGTTCTCGATTAATAATAAACAAAGTGCAACACCACCAGCCATGCAGTCACATGCATTTTCAACGCATCAAACAATGATCTTCAAAGAGAATCTTCGGAACATATGAGCGAGCGCTTAAATATATATTTCGGTGTATATCGAATCAGTCAATGACGAAAACAAAAGGAAGCCATCCAGACGGAAATGCAATGTGATATGTAATATGTAAATGAGATCGATTCTCGAATGGTTGTGTAAGATTTATTTATATTTAAGATTTATGCAGAAAAAAAAGGAAGAAAGAAACGAAAAAAGCTTTGAAATGGTCGGAATGTTTTTTGATTGATTCATTGTGCATAAATACACACACACAAGCGCAAGTGATGGATAGGCAATAGAATCATGGAAGATGCAAGTGCTATTGATTATTTGCTAGGAATTTCATTGTTGGCGCATTTGATAGATCAGTTTTATTTGAGCTTAAATTACCAGGGCTTAAATTTTGAACGAACTGATCGAAATTGTTCTTCTGATCGAGGATAACCACCTTAGGATGGTGAGTGAAGAAGCGAAGGGATAGTTGCACTGTTTCAGCACTTTTCATCTGTTAGCACAAGTTCGGCCTTCATAAAGCAGTTAAGCAGGCATGACTGAGATTTTTTGCTAGCTAATCGTAGGCGTTTGCAACTCTCGTGATGCGCCATTTTCTTTGAAGCGTTTCCGATGCATTCAGCAATTATTCGGAGGTAATATATAACGTGAATTCTGAATGAGCATTGTAAATTTTGGGTTTTATTGAATTTATTCACATTTATCACTGATCTATCAGTTTGGTGGGATAACTTTAAATTCATACGGATAACGTTTAGTGCGAAATTGCGTCAGATTGTTGACTTGTTTCATCACTGATAATATCGATCATTAATTTTGATATTTTTTCGAGAATTCGTTTGGATTTATGTAGATTTATTTCATTTGTATAGAATAGATTATTTATTTATTTTCAATGCATTCATTCGTAGAAATGTTATGCATGACGATGATGCATATGCGATTGATAGCAAGGGCACGTCCAAATTAGTGCACCCAAACAAAGGGTTACTGTAGCTGCCGACGCTTGTTGCTCGTTGGGTGATGATTGCACAGGGCAGAGTGAACCAAGAGATAGTTAGTCGGTCGACGAGAGGGCATGAGAAAAAAAGGGAAACCAAGAGAAGAGAGTGTGGGAATTGGAGAGATGAGAACGTAATTGAGGTGAAATAATCGAATAGAGAAAAATGAATTGGGAATTTTCGGGTGAAACCGAGAAAAAATTCAATTTTTCGCGTTTTTTTCCAAAAATTGGTTCTTTGATGTGCTAAACGATGAACGAATTCCGGTTGGAACAGGTCTTTACGAGATGTTTTGTGAATGTAAATTGCGTACGATTAAAATGTTACTAACAATAACAATAATGTTATTAATAATTCATATCTATGCTTATATATTCATATATATTTTCACCTATTCATCAACGCACTCCAACTTCATAGGTCATATTCCATCCAACAATGAGATTTCTGCGCACAGCGATTTGTTTGGGTCTAGCAAGAAAATTACCGTATGTCATTCAGTTTGCAAACAGTGCTCAAATAAGTAGCAAGATAAACATTAGCGTCTGTTTTAGAATCCAAAATTTATACAGTGTTCCAAGATGGTTGATAGCATAATGATAATATTCATAATAATAATAAATTTATATACATAGATACATAATAAATATTACATCTAATAATAAATATGTGTATACAATATATATAGTGTATATAAATGTAAATTCAATTAAGGATTCATTTTGCTGCGACCAATTTCCTAATCCTTAAACCTAACATCCTTTCGAGACCCCTTATCCGCCTTTCCGCTTCTCTTAATCATTCTTTCAGTCCAGTTCAATTTAGAATTCATCCAATGCAAATTTCCAGTTCCTTACAACTGCACTCTTTGCAACAATCACCTCATCATATCTTTAGATTCACGTTCAATACCATTAATGCTCATTAGGTTCTCAATAGTGCAACAATAATAATCGTGATACTATTATAACAATAATGCTAATAAATAACGATAGCAAAACTAGGAATAATAGTGAGGACAGAATAATCATCATAAGAATACTAATGATTCAACAATAACAATAATAATAACCATAACAACATAAATTACATTAAAGTACTAATGATGATCAGAATAATAACAACAAATGGATATCGAATAAGAAAATGAACAAACTTTAATTTGGAGAGTATAAAAATGAATGAAATTAAGCAACTGTGCATGTGATGTATTCATCTATGAGAAACCCTAATAAGATAGGTTAATTCAGGGATAAAGGAGATCATTTCGTGTTACAGATGGATATAATAGGGTTCATTGTAACTGCACATCGCTTTTCTTTTGTTAAACTGATGCATTCGGCTGCAATTCATTACTTTGACTTTATTTGTGTTTTGGATCGAGTAACATATGTCACTTCTTTATACATACAGCCGTACGAAAGACAATCGTGGTGATGATAATAAAAATAATACAATGATAATAATAATAAAAATAATACGAATAATAATAAAAGCGATGAATATTTAGATTGATACATGTATTATTTTGTAACATTTTATTTATGACCATGTTTTGTGGTGCTTGTTGTGTTGTTATCATCATAGGCTTACCGCTTTCATAGAGCTGTTTACTGTATTATTAGAAGATCAAGACAGCTGATCAAAGAGAATAGTAGATAATAAGAATGTTATATACAATACATATAATGTATACAGTAAAAATATATAATAAATAATGTAAACAATAAAATAATAAAAGAATTTTAGAAATATTTTCAGGTGGAGGGGGTGGTTCATCGAGCAGTGGCAGTGTTATTGGAGTGTCGGGTGGGGGGACCGCAAGTTCCGAATGTGGTTCCGAGGAGATTGACGAGGATTGCGATGAGGGCAGTGATGAAATTGGTATTTTTTAAAATTATTTCTAGTGCACTTATTGTTTTTACATTATCTTTTACATAATTTAATGTTATTCATTATCGCTGTTGTTAATATTATGAATACTTATTGATGTTGACTATTATCATTTTGAAATAATTGTTCAGATGAATCCAATTCAAGTGGTCAACAAGAAATGAACGGTGATTCGTTATGCTCGAGTAAACTCGATGAGCTGTCTGCATCAGCCAAGAGGCGCGGTCCGAGGACAACAATTAAAGCGAAACAAGTGAATTCATTCAAAATAATTGTTTTATTCATTATTAGTCATGAATACATCCATTATTTGGTATGACAAAAATGATAATAATCATGAATTACAGTTGGATACTCTGAAAGCAGCATTCGCGTCAACACCGAAACCAACGAGGCATATTCGAGAGCAGTTGGCTCAGGAGACAGGCCTGAATATGCGAGTTATACAGGTCATTTACATTCATATTTTTGTCATTCGTTTTTTAGATCGCTATTTATAATTTATTTATTATTAAGCATTATTCATGACAGTGCATATTCCAATAAATGCTTCTAAAATACCAATCGTTGTTTTTTTATGAATTGAAATCTTTGAAGTGAATTATTAATGAAATTGACACAGCGCATTTCATTGATTCATCAGTTATTCATAGCGATTATGAAAACGTCATTAAGTTATACAGCAGATGTTAGTTGTGCGCGGTGTTGTTGTTGGATACTGTAAATTCATGTAATAGTACGGTATGTTGATCGCATATTCGTATCGAAGCAGATTCATCATGAATATTTTAGTAATATTTCATTTGCGGAGCTGTATGATAATAATAATAATAATAATAATAATAATAATAATAACAATTACAATAATAATTATTATTATTATCAGCACGTAAACATCTAAATGATATTGGTGACTAGTCGGTGCTTTGTTGAATGTTTATGTCTCCATTCAGACAATCACATTAACAATAAGAGGGAACGTGAAACTTTTCCAATGATCAAAGATTACAAAATGTCATTAATTGCGTAAGGCTATGAATTAGTCGATATTATTACTGTTGTTATCATCAGTGTTAGCCTCGTCAGTATCAAATTATATTATCATTATTACAACACCACTATTATCAGCATTATCAGTGACTAGTTTGTCATTATAATACAATAATATTAATAACAACAGTAATAATGATGAATAAATGAACAATAAGGATTAAGATGCATTGAAAAGTACATTGATTATAAAGTATAAAAGTTCAAAAAAAAGACATTTTTACATAAATTAGATGAATGTTATATGAATATGCACAATTTTGATGCGCAGCGAATAGAATGTGAAGAATTGTTGATGTCTGAAGCAAACTGCGTGATCACTTCATTTATCTGGATTGTCTTCGTTTTGATGAGGATGCAGAAAAGATTTGATTTATAGCACCTTCCATTGTCTTTATCAGATAATTTTCATGTTTCGACGATATTTTTAGTATGTCTGATATTTATTATGTATATACAATATTTATTATATATACTATAATATTTTAAATAAGATAATATTTCACGTAAAAGATATTTGTGCGAATATAAATGTGCATCTATCAATAATCATCAATCGGTGAAGCTTTCGGATTGTTTTTGATTCATCGAATATGAAGTACAATCTCGCCATTTGAAGAACACCCATCAGACATTATTCAAATTTATTCTTTTGTCTTCGTTTCACTTGATGAAATCGTTTTTGCATTCGATCGATCTTCGTTTGGCTCGTTTTTGATGCTGCAGCAGCAGCCATTTAGTATGTCATCGTTGCTGAGTTAACGATACGAAGTGAATGACTGATTGATCTTTTTGTGAAGGAAGTGAATGGGATTTGGTGAGGAGAGAGGAATTCTGTGATGATCGATGATATATCTCGTGAAAGTTCACTTTTTCGAGTGAATTGTCATTGTTTTCGGTTTTTTGGCGAAACTTTTTCGTGCGAAAAGTGAATTCATTTTTGCAGCTTACGAGCGAGATTTATTGCGGCGTTCGCATAATGTTTTGTGCAGTGAAATGAGTCTCGGTTCTTTGCTTTTCATCACTTTGCAGAGGGTATTCCGTGAGAAAATGTCGTGATTTGATCTGTGGATATTTATTTATTCGTTTTGAATTGAGTGCAGCGCACGAGACGATGCACATGCTTGTCACGATACACCATTGTTGGCAGTTGTGAAAGCGATTGTAATAATAGTAATGATGATAATAGTAATAATGTTATAATAATTCGTAATAATAATAATAATAATAATAATAAATAACAATACTAAATAATAATAAGAATAACAATAGTAATATTGATATGTAAAATAAAATTCACATGATATTTATGTGTAACAATTGATCACTATCAACGCTTTTCTCAATATCCACAACTACTTTCGAAAATTCTCAGTATTCAATAACAAATCTCCGTTTTTTCACTTCACACTTTCATTCAGTTCATTCATAATGCAAAATTCGCAAATCTCTTAGCGCCGTCACTTTCAATTCGGTTTGATTATCTTTCCCATCATTTTGATATGCATGCTATTCATATTATTACTATTGTTATTATTATTGTTAATAATAATATTATTGTTGCTATTAGTTTTCAAGCATGCATTCTTGAGAATGCAATTGCACAGCTATGAAAGCGATAGGAAATACTTATTTATTTAATGTTTACTTTTGTGTCTATGTGCATGTGATCATGATAAGATTATGTAACACTTTTTTTCAGTGTCGTTTTTATTTCAATGGGTC